ACAAAAAAATTTTAGAGGAATAAGTTACTGAGTATACCAGGAAAAAATGTACGGTAGGGGTTTTAAAATTTAAAGAATTGAGGGAAGACAGAATGTAGGATTGGGATGAGCAAGGAGGTTTCAGAGTGGGGAGGGGATGTGTAATCAATGTTTACATTGAAGATATAGGAACAGTATTTTAATAAAGGTAGGGAAGTTTTTATTGCTTTATGGATTTAAAAAGGCATATATCAAGTGGATGAGGGGCAAGTGGCAATGTTGTAAGTATATGGAATAGTGGAAGTTAATTAAAGCTGTAAAAAGTTTTTATGAGGATAGTGAGGCTCATTTTGGGGGGTGTAGAAAGGGGAATACTTCCGGAAAAAGGCTTAGACAGGGGTGTGTAAAATCCCCCATGGTTGTTTAATAATTTTTTAAGGGGTTGTAAAAGGGAAGAAAGCTGGGGGTTCGGGAGAGGGGTGGGATTTAAATTTTGGGGAATCAAATTCAAAATGGGAATTGACAAGTTACTTTTGTGATGAACTGGCTTTTGGGAGTTCTAAAGAAAAATTCAAAGGTTAGTGATGATTTTTGGGAAAAGTGTTAAAGGGAGAAAAGTTGAAAGTGAACATAGAAAAGAGTTTTGGTGAGGGGGCAAAAAGATTTTTGATAAAGAAAAATTGGATACAAATTGGGGAGGGGGAGTATGGGAAGAAGTGAATGTTTTTCAATACTTGGGGTTGACGTGTCGGCGGATGGATTTTTGAAGATGAGGTTAATCAAGAAATTTATGAGGGAAAAAAAATGGTGGTCATTGGGTATAGTGGAGTCAAAAAAAATTTTCTAAGGGGGCAAAGAAGGGAAGTTTGAAAGTAAGTATACCAACACTCTTATAGGGGTGAAGCTTGGGGGGTAAATGCAGCAAACGAGGGGGACGGTTGGAGGCAGTGGAGATGTCCTGTTTAAGGGGAATTTTGTGGTGTAAATATTATGCAAAAATTCGGAGTGCGGAAATTAAAGGAAAAGGTGTGGAGTTAATAAAAATTAGCCCAGAGGGCAGAAAGGGGTTGTTGAGGTGGTTTGGGTCATTTAGAGAGAATGGATCAAAGTAGAATGACATGGAAAGCATTAAATCTATAGGGGAAGGAAGGCGGGGTAGGGGTCGTCCTCGAAAGGTTGGAGAGGGGGGGGTAAAGGAGGTTTGTGGGCAAGGGGCTTGGACTTCCAGCAAGCGTGCGTGAGCGTGTTAGATAGGAGTGAATGGAGACGAATGGTACTTGGGACCTGACGATCTGTTGGAGTGTGAGCAGAGTAATATTTAGTGAAGGAATTCAGGGAAACCGGTTATTTTCATATAGTCGGACTTGAGTCCTGGAAATGGGAAGTGCAATGCCTGCACTTTAAAGGAGGGGTTTGGGATATTGGCAGTTTGGAGGAATATGTTGTGTATCTTTATGTGTATGCTTCTAGACTGTTGTATTCTGAGCACCTCTGCAAAAACAGTGATAATGTGCGAGTGTGGTGAAAGTGTTGAATGATGATGAAAATATTTTCTTTTTGGGGATTTTCTTTATACCGGGTGGGCGACAGTCGCCGCTGTTGCCATACGCACGTCACTTTCTGCAAACTTTGCAGCTCTATATCTCGGTAAGTACTGATGGCAAAAAAATTTTTTTAGGCTTACAAGACTCAGAAAAATATTCCTAACACTTTCATAAGAAAAAAATAATTCTTTTTTTTTTTGAATATTTGGCAACATAGAATGACAGTTTCAGAAAGGGGCCTGAAACAGTCAAAAGGTTAAAGACAACTTCATCAACACGGCCACTTGATACTGGAGTACCACAAGGAAGTGTCCTTGGTCCCCTGCTCTACCTCTTATACATTAATGATCTTCCCAACGTATCACAACACTAACGTCATCTCCCACCCAAATCTTGCCACCCTCAACACCAATGTTAGCGAGGAGCTACTCAAAATATCTACTTGGATGACAGCCAATAAACTTACACTTAACTCTGACAAAACCTTCTATGTTTGGTAACAGAGCAGGTGTTCGACAACTTAGCATTAAGATCGACAACACTCTTATTGCCAGACATAATGAGGGCAAATTCCCAGGCCTGCACCTTGAAAGCAACCTGAATTTCAGCACCCTTATCCAACACATAACAAGAAAAGTATCCAAAATGGTTGGGATCCTCTCCAAGATACATTACTATGTGCCACAATCAGCCCTCCTCACACTATACCATTCACTCATTTATCCCTACCTCACCTATGCTATTTGTGCTTGGGGATCAACTGCAGCAACACACCTAAAGCCAATAATAACCCAACAAAAAGCTGCTGTAAGAATAATCACACAATCCAATCCCAGGCAACTCCCCCCCCCCACTCTTCCCTGTACCGAACATCCACTTACTACTGTGCAACCTACATTTACAGAACCTTAAATTCCAGTATTAACCCTGACCTAAAACACTTTCTTGATAGTTGTGACATGACCCACAGCCATAACACTAGACACAAAAATCTCTATGACATTCCCCCTGTCCAGCTAAACCTATACAAAAATTCAATGTATGTAAAAGGACCTAAAATCTGGAACACCCTACCTGAAAACTCTAGAACTGCAGACACATTCATCACTTTCAAAACTACCATTAGAAAACATCTTATCTCCCTGACACACCCCACAGTCAGCTAACTACATGAAAACTACCTAGTCTCTTGTATCATACACACACAAAAAACAACCTAGACCTCCCCTCGATATCTGCGATTCCCCACAATTCACACTTGCACTCACCCAATTGACTATAAACATAGAAACATGTAATACAACTATAACCTAATGAATCTTAAACCAGTCATAAGTTTGACTATGATACTCCAATATTGGAGCTTCAATAGAAACTATGCATCGTACCAAAACAAAACCATTCACTTTGCTAAATTTACCAACTGTAATGCAGTTCTTTAGCCTTAATACCAACATGCTGCATAATCTGAACCAATGTAGAGTTTTTAATTAATCTTAGTCTGCCCGAAATGCCTAGTCATGCTAGGTGTGATAGTGGCCCTCTCTGTAATTAGTATTTTATAATATGTAACTCCCTAGGTAGTAGGTTGGTAGACAGCAATCGCCCAGGGAGGTACTACTACCGTCCTGCCAAGTGAGTGTAAAATGGAAACCTGTAATTGTTTTACATGATGGTAGGATTGCTGGTGTCCATTTTTCTGTCTTATAAACATGCAAGGTTTCAGGTACGTCTTGCTACTTCTACTTACACTTAGGTCACACTACACATACATGTACAAGCATATACACACCCATCTGGGTTTTCTTCTATTTTTCTTACTAGTTCTTGTTCTTGTTTATTTCCTCTTACCTCCATGGGGAAGTGGAACAGAATTCTTCCTCCGTAAGCCATGCGTGTCGTAAGAGGCGACTAAAATGCCGGGAGAAAGAATATGTAACTCACACAATATTCTATATGTAAACCCCACATTGCAATCTTTATAGAGAATGAACTTGTTTTGATTTGATTTGATTTGATTTGAACTTCATGCCTCCATATCTTGTTAACCCTTTGACTGTCGCAACCCCCAATCCGGAGGTGTCTCCTGGTGTCGCAAAATTTAAAAAAAAAAAAATATTTTTTCTTATGAAATGATAGAGAATCTTTTCCCGATTGTAATGACACCAAAAAAACGAATTTTGATGGAAAACTGACGGAATTATGCTCTCGCGAAGTTAGCGACCTCGGCGCTGTTTACAAATCGGCGATTTCGCCCACTTAGCCCTATTTTCGGTTTAATTCTGTTGTGTCAAATCGCCCCCAAAAATCATAGCTATTTCTTTAGAACTCCATTTTTTCTATCGATTGAGTACAAGAAATTCCCCATTTACCGATTTCAACACCTAATAATAAAGGTCAGAAATTTGCAATTTGGCCAATTCACGAAAATTAAAAAAAAAATGACAATTTCAAAATAAGGTCCAGAATGGAACGATGCAGACATTCCTGGCTCTAAAATAACAATTTCTTTGTTCATCAGTCATGTCTCCAGGCCCCTATGATATTACTCTTGCTTTCTATTTTGAATTTTTATTCAAACAAAAAATAGAAGACTTACTATAATGCAGACTACTACAATACTGTAAAAAATTGTATAAATAACATCAACCCATTCATGACCCGCATATTAGAATGGTCTAGTTTGGACATTTTTTGGACAATGGCTCATTGTTTACTTTTTAACATTGGCAAAAATCAAACATTTTTCCCTACTTTGAGCACCATTTCTAGTTCGTTTATTTGTAAATCAATCCAAAATCACCTCTATTTCTATAATATGTTTTCCATTCTATCAAATGAGACCAAGAAAGCGAGAATACAACCATAAATACTATACAAAAATAGACCACAAAGTCGGCATTTTAATTAAAAAAAAACGGTCAGAGTTTTTTTTTCTCATTATGCACTGCGTGCTCCAGGATTTTTTTTATATGGTGCACACTGACCACACAGACCCATTCTCTCACATGTGGGCCTACCAGCTTTCTCCTGCTTGATTTGAAGTCGCTAGATTTTATGAGTATATATACGTCAAACACGGTACCTCGTAAGACGTATATATACGGCCGCGACAGTCAAAGGGTTATGTATTGATCACAAAAAAATGTTCTTTTTGGCCTATAACATTCACAAAAAGAAAAACTATTTGGCCTGTAACATTCACAAAAAGAAAAACTATCATTTCAAGAGAAATTTTTTTTTTTCGAATATTTTTCAACCCTGAGTGGGAGTTAAAGATAGAGGGTCTCGACCCTGAAAGGGTTAAGAAATAGGATGTCACAGATATATAAAACTGATATAGATCAAAAGTGTGAGAGCATGAAAAGATATGCATGAATGTGTCATTACATGCTAATGTGATAAAGTTTTGTCTTGGCATCTCAGAAACCAAATTTATTTGATGTAAAGAGAGAAAACTTAACGAAGTCTTGTCACCTGCAGTGCTGCTGTTCAAGATGTGGAGATTGTGGTACTCCTTCAGTGTCTGGAATGTTAGCTCCTTCAAGATGGACTCTGGCTTACTCCTGCTTCCCTGCAATACAATAAACATCGCTAATAAATGGACTGAGCTTCAGCTTATGACAGTGAAAGGGTTAATCACTCTAGACTGGTTAGGTTGTCTTCATAAGGAAGACTCTGAAAAATTACAGATTTGGGTGTTATACATCCAGAACGAAATCCTCTGGCTGAGTTTGTGCCAAAAGTATATGAACACCCAATCAGATGATTTTTGACAATGCTTATTTAAATAAATAGGATATATATAAGCCACACATGTCATAGGAGGCAAACAAAATGCAGGGAACAAGGGGCTAGTAATCCCTTCTCTTGTATAAATTACTGAAATTAAAAAGAAAAACTTTCATTCTTCTTTTTAGGTCACCCTGCCTCAGTGGGATACGGATGGTTCGTTGAAAAGAAATAAATAACATAATGAACATATCTAATCAAGGCAGACCTCTATATGCTCCTCCACCCTCTCACTGATAACATGTATATGGTGTAAGAAAGGTAACAATGTAGGAAAAGTGTGGTAGAAAAGCAAGGATGTTACAACCCATCTTTCCCACCATCTTATTTGTTTACAACAGCTGATCACTGCAGTTGCCCAACTGGTCAATATTCCATCCCATCCTAGTTCACTAACAGGTAATACAAACCATGGCTCCATAGGATAACAAAGAAACATTAGCAAGTTATTATTGTGCAGGAAAGAGTGCTGAAGGTACAGTAAGCAAGATTTAAGAGAGGTGACAGTGACTGTCACCCATCAGGCCAACAATCCTCTCTCCAACAGCCAAGTATCCTCCTCAATCCCCAGTCCTTCCACATTCACAAGTAATTGATATGTACAAGACGTGAATAATTGCTGACGAATGGAATGTTAATAATAACCCTACATTTTTTATCAGTTTCTACCAGAGAAACACACTGAAAGTGACTAAGCCCTGCCTAGTATGGGACAAGAGGAATATATTTTTTGACCTAGTAACCCAGAGAGTTAGTAACCAAGGATAACCCAATAAACATTTGTGCGATATCAAGTATAAATTAGGTGCTAAAATATCTAATCTAGTCTTCATAGTGTATTATACTTAAGAAATAATTAATTTTTTATTTTACTTTAGATATTGTCACCATACAATCATCTTTTTTAGTAGTCACACCAATTTATCTTCATAGATACTACTTTTCTCTTAATAACTTTTTTTTTTTTAACAAGTCGGCGGTCTCCCACCGAGGCAGGGTGACACAAAAAGAAAGAAAATCCCCAAAAAAGAAATACTTTCATCATCATTCAACACTTTCACCACACTCACACATAATCACTGTTTTTGCAGAGGTGCTCAAAATACAACAGTTTAGAAGTATATATGTATAAAGATACACAACATATTCCTTTAAACTGCCAATATCCCAAACCCCTCCTTTAAAGTGCAAGCATTGTACTTCCCATTTCCAGGACTCAAGTCCAGCTATATAAAATAACCAGTTCCCCTGAATCCCTTCACTAAATATTACCCTGCTCACACTCCAACAGCTCATCAGGTCCCAAATACCACTCGTCTCCATTCACTCCTATCTAATACGCTCATGCACCCTTGCTGGAAGTCCAAGCCCCTCGCCCACAAAACCTCCTTTACCCCCTCCCTCCAACCTTTTCGAGGACGACCCCTACCCCGTCTTCCTTCACCTACAGATTTATATGCTCTCCATGTCATTCTACTTTGATCCATTCTCTCTAAATGACCAAACCACCTCAACAACCCCTCTTCAGCTCTCTGACTAATACTTTTATTAACTCCACACCTTCTCCTAATTACCACACTCCGAATTTTCTGCATAATATTTACACTACACATTGCCCTTAGACAGGAAATCTCCACTGCCTCCAACCGCCTCCTCGCTGCAGCATTTACAACCCAAGCTTCACACCCATATAAGAGTGTTGGTACTACTATACTTTCATACATTCCCTTCTTTGCCTCCATAGATAACATTTTTTTATCTCCACATACACCTCAACGTACCACTCGCCTTTTTTCATTCATCAATTCTATGATTAACCTCATCCTTCATAAATCCATCCACTGACACGTCAACTCCCAAATATCTGAAAACATTCACTTCTTCCATACTCCTCCTTCCCAATTTGATATCCAATTTTTCTTAATCTAAATCATTTGACACCCTCATCACCTTACTCTTTTCTATGTTCACTTTGAACTTTCTACCTTTACACACACTCCCAAATTCGTCCACTAACCTTCGCAATTTTTCTTTAATCTCCCATAAGCACAGTATCATCAGCAAAAAGTAACTGTCACTTCCCATTTTGTATTGGATTCCCCATAATTTAATCCCACCCCTCCCCCGAACACCCTAGCATTTACTTCTTTCACGACCCCTTCTATAAATATATTAAACAACCATGGTGACATTACACATTCCTGTATAAGACCTACTTTTACCGGGAAATAGTCTCCGTCTCTTCTACACACCCTAACCTGAGCCTCACTATCCTCATAAAAACTCTTTACAGCATTTAGTAACTTACCACCTATTCCATATATTTGCAACATCTGCCGCATTGATCCCCTATCCACTATCATATACCTTTTCTAAATCCATAAATGCAATAAAAACTTCTCTACCTTTATCTAAATACTGTTCACATATATGCTTCAATGCAAACACTTGATCCACACACCCCCTACCCACTCTAAAACCTCCTTGCTCATCTGCAATTCTACATTCTGTCTTACCTCTAATTCTTTTAATAACCCTACCATACCCTTTTCCTGGTATACTCAGTAAACTTATTCCTCTATAATTTTTACAATCTCTTTTGTCCCCCTTTCCTTTATATAAAGGGACTATACACGCTCTCTGCCAATCCCTAGGTGCCTTCCCCTCTTTCATATATTTATTAAACAAAAATACCAACCACTCCAACACTATATCCCCCCCGCTTTCAACATTTGTCATGATCCCGTCAGTTCCAGCTGCTTTACCCCTGTTCATTCTACATAATGCCTCACGCACCTCCCCCACACTCACATCCTGCTCTTCTTCACTCCTAAACGATGGTATACCTCCCTGGCCAGTGCATGAAATTACCGCCTCCCTTCCTTCGTCGACATTTAAAAGTTCCTCAAAATATTCTCGCCATCTACCCAATACCTCCATCTCCCCATCTACTAACTCTCCTACTCTGTTTTTAACTGACAAATCCATATGTTCCCTAGGCTTTCTTAACTTGTTTAACTCACTCCAAAATTTCTTCTTATTTTCATTAAAATTTCTTGACAGAGCCTCTCCCGCTCTATCATCCGCTCTCCTTTTGCACTCTCTCACCACTCTCTTCACCTTTCTTTTACTCTCCATATACTCTACTATTCTTATAACACTTCTGCTTTGTAAAAACCTCTCATAAGCTACCTTTTTCTCTTTTATCACACCCTTTACTTCATCATTCCACCAATCACTCCTCTTTCCTCCCGCACCCACCCTCCTATAACCACAAACTTCTGCTCCACATTCTAATACTGCATTTTTAAAACTATTCCAACCCTCTTCAACCCCCCTACTACTCATACTTGCACCAGCCCACCTTTCTGCCAACAGTTGCTTATATCTCACCCGAACTTCCTCCTCCCTTAGTTTATACACTTTCACCTCCCTCTTACTTGTTGTTCCCATTTTCCTCTTGTCCCATCTACCTCTTACTCTATAACAGCTATATCCTATACTCACCTTTAGTAGAACATACTAAAATTCTTCTAATTCCTAAATTAAACTTACGAATGCTGGCATCAATCCTGATATAATCTTTCGTTAAAACTACAATAACAACCCTGAAGATAAGTGCCAATACTATACAGCAAGTCAGGCAAAGCTGTACTTAGTGCCACCAAGATTATAACAGTTTTCAATTCATAATGTCAGATCTCTGAGCAAAAACTACAATGACCTTCCAGCATGTCTAAATTCTCTAAATGTAAATCTATCTATTATTATTCTTAATGAAACCTGGCTCAAACATAACTCAACTGACATCTTTGTCTTACCTGGTTACACAGCCATACCTAACTGTAGGTCTGCCATCTACTACTGGAAAGAACTGGAATGTATTATCTACATGCACTAGGGATGAGAATGGTGAATATATATTTTCAAGATTTTCATATAAAAACATAACCCCTATTACAGTTGGTGGTGTATAGGTTACCTCACACAAATACTTACACATTCAGTGTCAACCTAAAAAACATAATTGACAGAGATGAATAAACACCACCTTATAAACATTGGCAACTTCAACATAAACTTATCCAAGTAGCTGACCCTCAAGTAGTTGATTTCACAAATACTATGAGCAACTGCTTGTTACTACCAATTATAACTTAGCCAACATGAATCTCTGATGCAAGTGCCTCACAGCTTGACCATATCTGGAGCAATACTATATCGCCTATTAAAGCAGGAATAATCACATATAACACCACAGATAACTACCCCACCTTCCTCATAATCAACATAAGTAAATTCCCACAAAACACTAGTTCGTTCATTCATTAGAGATTCACTGGTACTTCCGGCCCGGGTCTTCTCCATATGGCGACCTGGCTTCAAAACACTAGTAAAATTTTATTTTGTCTTCATAATGAGTCAACAATAAATAACTATTTCAGTATTAAGTGACAGTGACTAGCACAGAGTTAGCCGACAGCCATGATACTGATGAATGTGTTAAAATTTTTCATAAAAAAAAAAAAAATCTGTATAACAGACATTGTACAATCAAAACTAAACAGATCACAGCAAACAGACTAAACAGCCCCTGGCTTACAAACAGCATCCTCAAATCCACTGATAAAAAAAAAAGTATGAAAAACAGTTCAGACTGAGTTTAAAAGCAAAAGAACAGACTAAACTATATCAATCAATACTTACTAATCTAAAAAGGAAGTCCAAACAACTATATTATGCAAGTAGATTTAATGAAATAAAAGGGGTACAAAAAAGACC